CAGCCTGGAAAAGGCTGCAGCAGCTGCATCCTGTCATTCCCGGGGCGCGCAGGATGCGGGCTGCCCCGCATCACCTGCGTCCCCTCCTCGGCGCACATCTGGTTCGTATTCCTCGCACGGGGCTTTAGCAGAAACACGCGGCCTCAGCACGGGCACTGGGTGCTGGGCCCCTTCCCCGGGCGGGGGGGGCCTCCGGCCCCTTCCCCGTGGCCCCCGGCCGGGAGCTGCCTGGCCGAGGCGAACCCGGGGGCTGCGCGGGGCCTTTTCCCAGCCCTGCCTTCATCGTCTGACTTTTGCCTGTCAGCATGTGAGAGGAGTTTTATTGGCCTCTTTGATGTTGTGGAGACCAGAACTGTACAGACTTTCATTAAAACCCTGCCCTGTGGGCCCTGGGATTATGAATATTAGAACATTGCCCTTTTATGTGAACACGTATTGACCAGCGAACTCTGAATAGTGTTTTTACTAACGACACCCAAGTGCCCATTACAGCCCCTGCCTGTATTGCTTGAGGTTTACTGTCAGCAGCTCTTCGGGAAAGGTATAAAACCCCTTTCAGAAACGTTCTGCCGCTCCATGCAGCGTGCGCGCGTATGTTAAAAGGTTGCTAAGCTGCCTGCGAAAGCTCATGAAGGCAATTATCCATTTAAAAAAAAAAAAAAAGCTAATTAGGCAATTTCTCTCTGTATTTGAAAGCACCCTAGAGGGTCTCATGGGGTGGATTAAGATTTTGTAATATTTTTCAGCTCCTTACTTGATCATTGCAGCTTCATTTTCTTTCTCTGGCGTTGTGCAACATCGGGTAACAAAGACCTGATTCACTCTCCTTGTGCAAGAGTGCCCTTTCCCCGGCGCTCCGGGGAGCCCGCGAGCTGGGGACCCTTCTCCGTCCATCCCACGTGTCCTCCTGGACGCGGTGCTCTGTGTTACGGGGACTTGGGCCAAACCCGGGTCTGCGTTCGGCTTCGCCGCCGGCGTGCAGCAGGGGCGCGCGATGCCGAGGGCTTCTCCGTCCCCGCGCTGCATCTGCGTTTCCCTCCCCCGAAAAAGCGACCCGCCTGGCCGCAGGCTGCGTCCCCGCCGGCGTTATTAGCCAGAGCAGCCCTGAACATGTGTGAAACGTGGATTATGCACAGCTCCTAATAGCTGCAGGAACAGCTTGACGCTGCTGCAGCTCTCCCTGGTGCTTTGTGCGAGTGAGCTTTTAATAGTGCCTGTGACACAGAAAAGGAACTATCAGCCTCTTGTAATTTGGGTTCGTTTTTACTGCTGGTGCGTCAGGAGACAACTGTGAACTAATTTCAGTGATGCCATTCGATAACCTTGTGAAATCTGTAACCGTTTCAGGGGGAGGGGGGGGCTGTGTGGGGCTCCCCGGGCAGGGCTCGTCCCTGCCCTGTGCGGGGGTGCGGAGCTGCTCGGCATGTTTGAGGGCAGCGGTTTGCCCCCATCCCTCGGCCCCCACTCCTGGTTCTTCGTTTTCCTTAGCACGAGCTCATGGATCTTGCCCCATTTTCCTTAGCACGAGCTCATGGATCTTGCTCCGTTTCACCGTGCTGAAGCGATTTAAGCCGATCTGGAGCTGGACCGGCACGAGCAGATCCTGAACCCTGCGTCCTTCGTTGGCCCTCGGCCGATGCTCTGGGCATCGCTCAGCTGCATGGAGAGGGTGGTGTCACCTCGAGCTCCTGGTGCTGTCCCTGGGGCTCCCCCCGTCCCTTCGCCCGATCCCCCTCGGCTCAGGGGGAGCGCAGCGGGGCCCGTCTTGCTGCCCCTGCCGAGGGCAGGGTGTGTGGATGCAGCTTTCGGCTATGGTCATCGCTGCGGTGGACGAGAGCAATAGGAAAACCATGTGAGGAGGGATTTAATGCCTTTCTGGGACCATTGCTACTATCCGAAAGAGGAGCGGGGGG